ACTCCCATAAAATAGCCCACATCTCCCATACAGGCGTAAAACCATACGCTCTGTTCCGTGGGATGTATTATGAATGCAATACTTCGGATCAGTTGTTGAAATATGAGGAACAGTACGATAATAGGCTTGTAATACCATTTCCTCTTCAGTGGACCTATCTTTTGCATTGAGATACCGATGCGGTAGAGATGACTGTCCGCCCCATTAATCGCTAAGTTTTTGGACAGTTTCTCTGTTGGCACTATTTTCTGAGACATTTCATTAATAATATAGTGTAATATTATTATTTGGTTATAATATTATAATGTTGTTATACATGTAGTGTTATTGTATTGTATTGATACTTTCTGGTTACAACTGGGTATAAGTTCTGGATACTTTATATATGAGTTGTAAATAGCACTAGTCTAATATTAAACTTGTGAGCTAGAAAGTAAATTTAAGTGCACCTAAAATAGGTTTACTAATTCAGTATATATGAAATGAGCCTGTAAATAAGTATTAATGATATCACTACATCATATTTTATTTTTATAATTGTCAAAATGTCTAAATTTTTACTTCGTAAATATCATTAAAAATGATAAATTATTTTTAATTCTTATTTTATTCTGTTATTTGCTTATATTATGTGATTATGTAATAAAATAACTATTACTAGTTGATTTGTGAATACTTGCATGCTAATGAATGTAATTAAAACAAGAAATATTAATTTATTAAAATTTTAATGTCATCACAAACCAAAATTCATATTCAAATTATATAAATATAAGTATAATTAATGCAAAAATATTTTATAATTTTAAACTAAAATTTATTATATTTTTTAACGCGTATTTACAATATATTTATATGTGCAAATTAAAACAAACACAAAAATATTAAGTATAAATTTTTCAAATTTAAATTTAAATTTAAATTTATTAAACACAAAAAAATTAAAAGTACATTTACACTCTTTACAATCAAATATCGACACAAATTGTAGTCATAATAGATAGTTATATAAACTCTATAATATCAGATGTACTTGCTATACATACTTTTCCAAGTACAAATTGAGTGGAAATTTTAAAATTAATATTTTCCTAAATCAAAACATTTGTATGAATAAAATTAATAATTTTAACAATGCAACAAATCATTAATCAAAAACTGAGACATTTTTGCCAAATGTTGCCAATAATTATTAGCAGTTTAAAATTCACTATAAATTATGTTTTAATAAATAGTTTGGAAAACTTTTAAATTGAGTACATTTTTGGGTACATTAGTGATTCTAGTATACGCTTTGAACACACACTACGGAAAAGCGTATCAAAATGAAATACTTTGTAAGGATTGAATAAGGGGCCATTCAATAAGTACGTACGCAAAAATTTGTCTAAAAATTGACCCCCCCTCCCCCCGAAACACCCCTCGTACATAGGACTTTAACATTGTGTACGCATGCCTTGACTGACCCCCCTGACCCCCACCCAGTGCGTACGTACTTATTGAATGAGCCCTAAGTATCGGGACAGTAGTATTTAACAGCTTATGAACGACCTTACAATGTACTACTTCTAGGGTTCAAGTTTTATCCTATAATTGGGTTTATTTGAGTACAAATTGAGTACTAATGTACGCAAATCATTGAAATACAATATATAAACATTGAAATATTAATATACAGTACGAGGAAAATAATTTGTCAGTTATTAAATAAAAATGTATTCATTGGTGCCAAGAGTTTTACAATTCAATTTATTACAACACCCAAAGTGTGTGACATATAATGTAGTGAAACGTTTGAATAGCAGTCAAACGACGAGTGGTTTTAACTTTGAGTTGACTTCAGAGCAGAAATCACTGCAAGAATTGGCCCAAAAGTTCGCCAAAGAGGAGATCATCCCTCGGGCCGCACATTACGACCAAACGGGTCACTTTCCCTGGGATCTCGTCAAACAGGCACATGAATTGGGTCTTAGGAATGGTGTTGTTCCCGCTCAATACGGGGGACTGGGTCTCAGTCTATTTGATTCGTGTCTATTAGGTTAGAAAACTAAATATACAAAATTCAATCACTGTTTCCATACTTTACAATATTATTCTTAACACACATTCGTTTTATAATTTGTAAATTAATTACTTAAAAATCACGTTTTTGTTTCACAAATTAACATAGATTTTGACAATCAAATTACTACTGTAATGTGGTTACAAAATCATTTTTTATGCAAACTAACTTTCATTATTATTGAGTTATATTTAGATTGAAATATTATTAATATTTCAATGAATGCCATTAACTTATCTACAAATAGCGAACCATATCTAAGAATCTAATCACTTAGCATGCTAACATACTTAACATACTATATTTACAACAATATATTGTATTTATACTGTATGACCATTATATACACTGACAGGTGAGGCATTGAACTACGGGTGCAGTGGGATCGGCTTAGCCATTGGGTCGAGTGCTCTGCCACAGGCGCCGGTAATTCTGTTTGGAAATGAGGGCCAGAAAAGGGAATATTTGGGACGAATGACGGGTTCGGTTGACTCGTTTTTCGATAACATTGGCCAACATTTACCGAAACTTCAATACTTGTCGTTTCAAAACTACGATACAAGTGATGAGGTATTGAATGAGTTGTCAAAACTGACACATTTAAGGGCAATCAAACTGAGAACGTGGGACAGGAATATTTGTGAACAAGACTACCTGGGCCAACATTGTCCTAAATTTGTTGATGCCTACCACAAGTATTACTGTACCGATTAATAAACCATCAAAGTTCAGACATATATAGAGCGCCTGTCCGGTCCGGTTTCTATTGTTATGATTTGTTTCATATGAATAACTGAGGTCTACCTCTATATGGTTGCCGTTGTCTATAATTATCTATTATTACTACTATTTGTGTAAATATTTTGGATGTAATTATATTTTTAATTGAATTATGATTTTTCTGTTTGTACAGATACATATACTATATACACTGGTTTAATAAATATAATAAGTTTTAATTTGAAATCTATTTTTATGATTATCTAATTTTATATAAATAGATTTTATTAGTACATTAATATTGTAATAAATTAGTACTGTATTCCTTGTTTTAATTACATTCATTTGCATGCAATCATTAATAAATCAACTAATAATGCTTATTTTATTTTATAGAATAACATAATACCGTATAAGCAAATAACATAGCATTGTATAAAATAAAAATAAAAATTTAAAATAATTTGTCATTTTAATGTTGTTTTTAATTAATAATGTTGACATATTATTGATTATAGAAATAAAATATGATGTAGCAGTATCATTAGTACTTAACTACAGACTCATTGCATAATAATTTATAAACAGGTCTAGTTTAGGTTCACTTTTTACTTTATAGCTCACAATCTCAAAAGTTTGAATAATATTAACAGTAATATTTAAATACTCATACAATAGTGTCACAAACTATAACATTATAACAAAATTATAATATTATAACAGAATGTCTCGAAAAATAGTGCCGACAGAGAAACTGCCCAAAGAATTAGCGATTAAAGGGGCGGACAGTCATCTCTACCGCATCGGTATCTCAATGCAAAAGATGAGTCCACTGAAGAGGAAATGGTATTACAACCCTATTATCGTACTGATCCTCATATTTCAACAACTGATCCGAAGTATTGCATTCATAAAACATCCGACAGAACAGAGCCTATGGTTTTACGCCAGTCTGGGAGATGTGGGCTATTTCATGGGAGTGGGCCTACACACCAATATGCTAATCGTGGTCATTATGAGCTCGCTACTTTCGTCATACCTGATATTTTTCCGAAATTATCTGAAACGCGTTAAGCCCACGGATTTGCGTGTATTTCAGGTGATGGCCGGTGTGATTAGCCCGGATACTATTGCATTGGATTCACCGGAAATCATACATAAGTTGTTGAAAGTGTTTAAACGGTTTCTGTCGTTGCCTTATAGCAAGGTAATCGGTCTCGAGTCCTTTGGAGTAATATTTTTCACTTACTCCGTGAAGTTATCAAGGCGATATCTGCTTCTCTACGGCTTATTTCATACGGTATTGCAAACGATCGTGGCCATTTTTTGCATTCAAATCATAGCTCGCTACTTTCGTCATACATGATATTTTACCAAAATTATATGAAACGCGTTAAGCCCACCGATTTGCGTGTATTTCAGGTGATGTCCGGTGTGATTAGCCCGGATACTATTGGATTGGATTCACCGGAAATCATACAGAAGTTGTTGAAAATGTTTAATCGCTTTCTGTCGTTACCCTATAGCAAGGTAATCGGGCTCGAGTCCTTTGGAGTGATATTTTTTACGTATTCCGTAAAGTTATCATGGCAAAATCTACTTCTCTACGGTTTATTTCATACGGTACTACAAACGATTGTGGCCATTTTTTGCATTCAAATCATGGTCTGGCTCTGTGTCTACTACTATCTGTTGACATACTATTTGAATACGAAATTACGGTTTATTGGCAAACATTTAAAGGATCTCTTGAAAGGTATTTATGAGAAAAATACGGCAATTAATCGCAACCTATTGGCAGATATCATGAAAAATGTCAAACAATTGAATGCATTATTCGTGGAAATCCAAGAATATAATGACATATTTTGGGCTAAATATTTGGGTGTTTTCTGGTTTCATTTGAGTTTGTTAGTAGCCATAACATTTTACATGGTATTTCTGAGCGATATTAATCTTATCGTAAAGGGAGCCCTATTCATGATCTTTATGACATTTTCCCTGATACTATTGTTTATTATACACGTATCGGCACTCATTTATGATGAGCCAAAAAAGTTGCATAAAATATTAAACTCGTTGTCAACGCAATTGAGTCAAACCAGAGGCAACCTATTGTTAAAATTTAAGGTAAATCACAAAAATATTTATATTATCAAGATAGATTAATGTTTATTTTTAATAGTTATTAACTTTGATCGAGAGAATTGCAGTGGACAAGGTGGGTTTTTATTGCTGGAAATTATTTATCATAAATAGGTTCCGGGGATATGAGGTATGCTTAAAAATATTTATATATTATATCATACTAGCATTTATTATCAAGATATATTTCTACACATAGATAATCTCATTCATCGTAATGCTGTATTTTAAACTATTGGATCTATCATAATTTGCAAGTACTTGCCATAAAAATATTATTTTCACACCGGTATTGATTTAATTTATCTAATTTTATTGGACTCTCTAACAGTAATAGTCTATTGTATTATATAAATAATACTTGCCCTGATATTACATACGATGTAGTATTTATCATGCAACGATATAATTTATTTTGTTACATAATCTCATTATTTATAATGTTTTATTGATCATTGACTAGTGGCAATAAAAATAAGAGTTAAAATAATTTTTTAACTAGTTTTGCTGATTTTTAAAAATATTAATCTTATTCAAATTATACAATTGCTTTGATTTATAAGAATATCTTTTAAATTATCACTCAATTTGTGGGTCAACACCAGAAAGTGCATCAGATTTGATAGATAAAATGATATATACAACTAATTTATACATTTTTGTTATAATTATTTAATTTTGTACAACTCTACAAAGTACTTTATTCAATGTGATACTGTGATCATTATAGCACTGCACAATCAATTAAATTAGTCACTACTTTATAGAAATATTGTTATGAAAGGAGGATGCATATCCCTTGACCCATATATTTGTGGTATAGTCGGTCTGTTATTACAACGGATATTATTAACAATTCTTATAGAACTTAGGATGAGGAGTCCGAATATGTAATTTATAATGTCTTATGACCTCGGGTTCGACCGCAGTGACCACTTTTATCGGGAACATTTTCATAATAAATATACCCATGTGATATATCAATTTAATAGAGATTTTAACAGAGAATACCATGGTGTATGTAAAAATTCTATAAACTCTAGCAATACTGCAAATAATGTCGAATTTGTTGCAAAAAATGTAACAAATCGATTTTTCTTTTAAATATTTAAAACCCCCATCCCCAATCAGACCTCCTCCAGCAAAACCCCACCCAGCCCCCTACCCGACCTCCTCCACACCAAAAATAACCCCAGAAACTCTTCCCCACATAGGGAGTAACGGGGGTGTTTCCCGGCTTCCCACCACATCCGGGACAAGACCATTGAAGTTCTCGTCCCGGTTGTGAAGTTCCGCCCGGGTCCATTCCACGGGTCCGGACCTGATCATCGGATTCGACACCCGTGGAAGGCCGAATCCGACGCTGGTCTCCTCCTGAGACAGGAGACATCCCAGTAGAGGTTTGAGGATCCATCAGAGCCCTGGGGTCCAGCTCTGAGTGGTCCTTTTCAAATTGAAGGTTTGATGCCATAGTAGTCATAAAACAAGGATTTAAAAAATGTAATGAAGTTAATCATTATAATTTTTTTATATACTAACTTAACAGATTATGATAAATTGTT